ATTGTCCAGGCTGGAAGGGACCTCCAAAGGTCATCTAGTCCGGCCTCCTCACAGTCAGCAGGGACACCCCCAAATAGACGAGGTTGCCCAGAGCCTTTCCTGAGAAGCACGGTGAAGCAACCCCAAAGGGAGATGCTCACCCCCTCCCCAACTCTGGGCATTTGGTACATTTTGAAAGTCCCTCCTGGAGCGACAAGCACGGGAGAGCCACCCACCGCCTCCGCAGAGCCAAGCCCCGGGGAGAGGGTTCGGCTGCACCCCCGAGAGGCCCAGCAGAGCCACCCTGCCCACAGGGAAAGCCTTTGCCCAGCGCCCCTTTTCCTGGGAGATGCTGCTCTCCAAATATTTTGGAGGTTGCCCAGAGCCTTTCCTGAGAAGCACGGTGAAGCAACCCCAAAGGGAGATGCTCACCCCCTCCCCAACTCTGGGCATTTGGTACATTTTGAAAGTCCCTCCTGGAGCGACAAGCACGGGAGAGCCACCCACCGCCTCCGCAGAGCCAAGCCCTGGGGAGAGGGTTCGGCTGCACCCCCGAGAGGCCCAGCAGGGAAAGCCTTTGCCCAGCGCCCCTTCTCCTGGGAGATGCTGCTCTCCAAATATTTTGGCCGTTCCTCACCTACAGGAGGGTTGGAGTACATCTGTCTGCAGGAAACGCACAGAAAGCTGACTCATTATCTTAAAACGCTGCTTTCGTTTCTGCTCATTAAAAGCACATTTCAGTCCCCTGCGCGGCCGATGAGCTCCGGACACAAATTAAAGCACTGGGATTCGGTTCTCTCCTTCTCTCATTTCATTCACTGCCCACAACGTGTGTTCTCCATTTCCAGGACAGCAATGTCACACCTGAGCTACCACCAGAAAACACTACGGATAATAAATAATAATAATAATAATATCAACAACTAAAATCCTCTCTTCCACTGCCATGCCCGGTGCTCCGGGCAACCGGGATGACAGGCCAGGATCCAGGCAACGGATGTCAGACCCAAGGGTGATTTCAGGAGCTGCATCCCACGCCAGCAGCATCCTTCTCTGCAGAAAGAGAGCAAGGCCCCGTGGTTCTGCACACCCCGCCGCCCGGGAGAAGGAAACGCGTAGGTCCTCACCTTTAGGGAGTCAAAGCAGGCAATAACTCGACCGTTTTCCACATGGCAACTCCGTGACGGATGGGCGAACTTGCACTCCGCGTCAGACCGAGAACAAGTCCCTCTCTGAAACTCTCGACACACTTCTAACGTCAGCCATTTTGTGTCACGAACCAGGGAAACGTTTACAGCCATATTAAAAAAAAAAAAAAACCCAAAAATTATAATGCAAGCAATCGCGCCCTTCTTCAGGGCAATATTTACTGCTGATCTTTTTTTTTTTTATTAGTATTTTTTTCTTCTTTTTTTTTTTAAAAAAAGGGTAAAAAAGTGAATTCAAGTTAAACGTGAAGAAATAACTAACTTGTTGCTTTGGTAGAACTCCTATTCATCAGCACTTAGGTTTTCATTTAAGTCAAATCGTGTTTGTTTAAACAAGAATTAAACATAAAGCCAATCATAAAATAGAAATCTTATCAGAACAACTGAAAATCAAATTAGAGGCCAGCTCCTAAAAGTGCAATTGTAGAAGTTAAAATATAAGTGTTATATTTTGTGCCACTGCCGAAGTTACTTGCAAATAACTGGCAGACGTTCAAAAGAATTCTGTGCTCTCCAGTTAATGGTTTCAATTATTCTTGCAAAAAGCATATGCTGCTGGCAGCACTTCAGTTTGTGGAATGGTCTCGGTCCTTAGGGAGAAAACTTCGGGGTTTGTTGGTTGGTTTTTTTTTTTCCTTCTATTTCTTGCTTCTAAAAATGACGGTTCGTGAGCATCAAAGCGAGCAAAAAGAACATCTGAATTTCTTTTTTTTTCCTCTTCCTTTCTTTTCTTTTCTTTTCAATATTTGCTACATACTCGGGGAAGGAAAAAAAAAATATAATAAAATGGCTGAGCAAACTGCGTGTAAACGGGGAGCAAAAAACAAAATCGGGGGGGGCAATGCTGAGTTGCCGTCAGGGCACGAACCGCAAGCAGCGCCGAATTAAAAAGGGGGGGGGGGGCGAG